AGAACACAATGATTTTGATAATCTTAGTTAGGTTAGGTTATCCAGTTATCTTATATAGTTACTAGTTAGTAGTTAGTATAGCGTACATTGTGCTGATTAAGTAGGTAGGTACTGAATATCTTCGAAAATATATAATTTATCGAAATAGAATTTTCCCAAGTCAAGTAAAAGTAGATGACCGAATTGTAGTATGCAAGGTCTAATAAACTTAAAACTTAACAGGATGGTGTCAAGTTTTAAACAGATATCATTGCAACATTAAAACAACTGATGGTTTCGCTAACACTACTCTAGAGCATAACGTTCGAATGAGTCGAGTTTGATAGTAGCCTTCAGACATAAAATTTCGAAATGAAATTTAAATTTACTGAAATAATTTTGTACTTAGAAATTATAGAACACAATGATTTTGATACTCGTAGTTAGGTTAGGTTATCTAGTTGTCTTATATAATTAGTAGTTAGTATAGCGTACATTGTGCTGATTAAGTAGGTACTGTGTATCTTCGAAAATATATAATTTATCGCTATAGAATTTTCCCAAGTCAACTAAAAGTAGATGACCGAATTGTAGCATGCAAGGTCTAATAAACTTAAAACTTAACAGGATGGTGTCAAGTTTTAAACAGATATCATTGCAACATTAAAACAACTGATGGTTTCGCTAACACTACTCCAGAGCATAACGTTCGAATGAGTTGAGTTTGATAGTAGCCTTTAGACATAAACAACTGAAATAAAATTAGCGGTGAATTTTTTTTAATCTTTGTTGTTTTCAGCCCCATCACAACATTTAATATCACGTTCTCTTATCTTCAGAGGTGTTTGGAAGAAGTGAAATAATTTTGTACATAGAACACAGTTATATTTTGATACTCGTATATAGTTATCTAATATAGTAAAACTTCCGTTAACGGTCACCTTTATTTAACAGTAAATGTTTTTGGTCACGTCGAGTGTTGTCCTACCTCTATAGGACGCGCTCCTCTAAATAGTGGTCATTATTTACAGTCCCTTCGGTGACCGTTATATGGAAGTTCTACTGTAGTTAGTATAGCGTAAATTGTGCTGAATATCTTCGAAAATATATAATTTATGGCTATAGAATTTTCCCCAGTCAACTAAAAGTAGATGACCGAATTGCAGCACTTAAGGTCTAATAAACTATGTCTATATTGTTTTCAGCCTCATCACAACATTTTAGCTATTATAATTATTTTTTATGTTATGGTTGTGTATAACAACATTTAATATCACGTTCCCCTATCTCCAAAGGTTTAAAGATAAATTCTGTGTTGGAAGAAGTGAAATAATTTCGATAAAATTTTCCCAAGTCAACTAAGGTAGCACGCAACGTCTAATAAACCTAAAACTTAACCAGATGGTGTTAAGTTTTAAACAGATATCATTGCAATATTAAAACAACTGATGGTTTCGCTAACACTACTCCAGAGCATAACGTTCGAATGAGTCGAGTTTGATAGTAGCCTTTAGACATAAAAAACCGAAATAGGATTAAGTGATGAATTATAACTGTAGGCTATGTTGTTGTGTTAGCCTCGTCATATTATACCTATTATAATCATTTTTATGTTATGATTCTGACTAAATTGTGTTAAACGTTAACAACATTAATATCACGCCCCCCCCCTTCCCGGGTGTTCAAACAATGAATTATATGCTTTGAAGAAGTGAAATAATTTTGTACATTTAACTCAATGATATTGTGCTCCTCGTATAGTTATATTATAGTTGGTATATCGTACATTGTACTGATAGAGTCTGTAGTGAAAATCTTGGAAATTATATTATCATAACAGAATATTAAATCTCCGAGGAACTAAAAGTAACAGGCTGAATTGTGGGTTAAGCGCACGCTTCATCTTAATAATATCATTAATCGACCATCTTGACGAATGGTAGCACGCAAGGTCTTGTAAACATAAGCTTGATAGACGATATCAAGTTAAAACAAAGACCATTGCAACATTAAAACAACTGATGGTTTCGCTAACACTTCTCCAGAGCATTACGTTCGAATGAGTCGAGTTTGATAGTAGCCTTTAGACATACAAATTCGAAATGAAATTTAAATTTACTAATGAATCGTTTTACCTAGTCTACCTATGTTGTTTTCAACCTCATCGCATAATAATTACTTTTATGTTATAGTTTAGAGCCTATGTAATTGTGTAGGACGTAGGATAAAACAACTTTTTGTAGCACTCCCTCCTAACGAGTTAACACGATAATATTGTACTCTCTATTTCGTACATCCAACCCGTGTAGATTTCTGCCACTAAATAGTAGTATTCCTAGTTAAAGTCTCGCTTGTACATAATATTTTATCTAAACAACCTGTGTTCACTCTACAGTAAGCGTAGTATATATATTATATTGTACCGACAAACGACGAATCCGACACGCAATACGACCACCGTTCACATTGGTTCTATTTTAAATATATTTAAATTTAAAAAAAAAAAACGAACGAAATCAACCCAAACACACGAAGGAAGAGAGATGATATACTTACACTGCGCTACCGTAACAAAACTGCGCGCGATTATTCGTCGTGAAATCACTCCTCCGCGCGTTCTGTACCCAACACCGTGTATCGTTTGCATACCTGTGCAAACCAAATAAATATTAAAATCATTATAATACCTGTACGGCGTTTTTATGCGGTTACGATAATAATTCCGAGATTGTTTCGGCGTCGTATTTTTTACGTAATAATATTGTTCACGCGTGTGCAGGTGGAAGCGGATAAAAAAAAAAACCGCCGGTCTGTCGCGTTTTATATAATATTTAATTATTATCACACAACAACACATCAAACGTCGTCGTCGAGGGTAATAATATTGTACACTTTTTCTGTAGTGCGATTTTTTTTTTTTTGTTTGTTCACGAGCCAGACACGACGAGATCTTTCGGCCGCCGCGCTCCCGCGCGCTCTCTGCTGCAGTCGCGTCCGCCGGGTGTGTGTGTGTGGCAGTCTGCGTGGAACTCGGCGGCGTACGTGACGTAGTCAGCTGCGATTTTCTTCGCCGCCGTGACGAGTAAAATAATAATGCCGCGCATACACGACGATAACAACACTACACGTCTCGTGCGATGGCAACGACTGGAGTTTTGAGAAACCGTCAATGGGGTCGTTATTGTCGATGGATTCACTCTATAATATATTATCCGATAGCGAGAGAGCCCGCTCTTCCGCCCTCCAAATAAAAACGTGTTTTAGTCGTATCCACTGCCTCTACGACGGACCGGCAATAAAAATTATCTATATTATCGTATTATATTTATCGTTTTATAACCGTGACCCACGGGCCAAGATATGTCTTAGTCCGTGACCCAATGTTTGGCGTATTTTTCTGGTACACGATATCGATTACGATTCGATTTTCGTTCGTCTCGCGTCCGACCGATCGTATTATCTGAAATTTTTTTTATCACATGTGTATCACATTAGTTCTATAATAATAGTAAGTCCGTTAGTGCGGGTGGGTATGCGCGTCGCATTTTTGTCGCGTCATATAATATCGTGTGTGCACGCTGTCGTGCGTTTTTGGTTGAGCCACAACCGTTGTTTGGCAATCTCGCGATAAATGATTTTAAATTCTTCAACCGGCGTAGTACTCGTGTTCTTCGGAAATCCAAACAGTAGTAATTGGTGTCGTCCACTCGTGTTAATGAATTATTATTCAATGATCCGTATCATGTGCTTTTCATTTTTTAAACTCTAATCTGCGGCGATGGTCATTTTCAGATGTTGTACGTACACCCCCCCCCCCCGGTGTTTTCCGATGACGCTAATAGCGTTACATTCTGTATATTATAACTACGTGTTGTCAGATTATTACCTTTTATGTACGTATACGTGTTTGTACATGACGCCAAATTCCGATCGGAACACCGAATATCAATTTTTCGGGGTCACCTCTGTTGGCAAAAAGTCTAACCGGATGACCCTATTTATCTTTATTTTTTTGCATTCAATTTTTGTACATACCTTACCCGCGGCTATCTGTATAGCACGGGCACCTTCTATTTCTAAACTTTGAATTCAATGTAGTACAACGATTTATTTCGATATCATCTGAACACTTTTAAAAATAGTATCGCGCAGAGTGTATGATGGTGATTAAAAAGTATTCAAACTAAAATATTATATCGAGTATATGTATTAACGCCACTGGACAGAGACCATATATGTGCAATAGACTTGTTTATGTAACATATCAATGGTGTTCCGTTTTTACAAAAATGTTTGATTAGTAATTATAATATAAATCATCAATAAGTAAAACATTGTACCTATGAACTGTATAGTTTCATTATTATTATTGTTCCATGCAAAATAATATGTACTATTGTATGCAATAGTATATATATTCTAATTCCACAGTATAATATTCAATCTTATAAAGATAAAAAGTGTGAACAATGGGCTTTTTCATAAAATATTGTTCCTAGTATACTTATTTAGATATCATAGTTTACATTTTGCTGCATTCTGGCTTTGTCAAATGTTTTATATAAAAAAAAAAAAAAAAAAACATAAATAATATGCTTGAATGAATGCGCTAAGAAAAAAATATTAAATATGCAAAAACATGTAATTTTACATTAAATATAAAAATTCGAAATTAAGCTTTCTTAACACAATTATTATTAAGTATTAAATTTAAATACAACATAACAAAGACTACAGTGTTCTTCTATATTTAATAAATAGCAAATATTAGCTTTATGTATAAGTCATCTTTTTCTATTCAAATTTGTATTTATTGACCACAACACTATTGATGACAACAGCAATCTATAAATAATCTGTCCTAAAAATAAAACTCAAATTATAATAATATTAAAATCAAACGTAAAATAAAAACATTTAGCTTTTAAGAATCGCAATTTATTCATAAAAAATCTTTATTATTAACATTATTAAACTATTAATTGTCAAATATTTAAATTCTGATTTCATATGGTTTACAGAGAACACGCAAAGAAAAGAAAACATATTCAGAAGACTGGGCATATGGCGACGAAGAAGAAATTGAAGGTGTACGATCCTTTAGCTTACAAGAAAAGCTTGACTCCACACGTTATTTGAATCACAACTTTAGTAAACAGATGGATGGAAAAGGTATGATTTTTACAGTTTAAATTAATAATACATTTATTTTATTTTTTCAATATTTTTTTTTTTTAGATTTTACAATTTCATACCTTCAGAAACATGGTTTTGTAATACCATTATTATTTAAGGATAAAACAGGTCTTGGATTACATGTCCCAAGCCCTAATTTTTCTGTGAATGATGTTCGCACATGTGTTGGTAAGTGTAATGTTTTAAGTTACCTAATAAATAGTTATAGTTTATCTTAATTTGAGTCAGGGAAGCAATTGTTCATGATTTTTATTAAATTATTTAAAATTATTAATCTATTTATGCAACTCTATACACGGAAATGATACATATGTTGGTAAATTGGAGTTATAATTTTGATATAGGTTAGGTGCTTACTGCCTACCTAAAGAAAATGAATAAAGTATTTTTAATTTTTCTTTTGTTACTTCAATATTTCGTAAATTTATAAAGTATTAATTAGGGCCAGTTGTTCCGTCTACGGTTAAACTACGATTAAGCTTAATCAGCTGATAACAGATATTTAACAGGGCAAAATCGGCCGATTAAACTCCGGTTAACTTTAATCTGAGATGGTAAAACTGGCTTTTGAGATACACACAAATTTATTTTAAATATTTTAGATTCTGAGTGAAACGATGAATGTATTGATTTTACATGATGTGTATTTTTTATTTTTTTTATTTTTTTTGTGTCTGTGTACACGATAAGTAGTCGAAATAATGCTTCGATTTTCAACTTCAGTATCTTTTTCGATTGGAAAGTGAATATTGTTGGTGCATTGGGGAGGTAAAAATTTAAATTTCCCAGTAGTTTTCAAAAGCGCCGGGAAAAAACAAAAGAAAAATTAAGGAAAAACGGGAATTGTTACGCAAAATCTGTTTTCGAGAAAATCGAGTTTGGTTTTTGGTGTAACTTTAAAACAAATGACCGTAGATACATGAAATTTTCAGTGGTTGTTTATATTTGCATTTTCTATGCACAATAACATTTTCAAAATATTTTGATTTATTTTGAACTGTTTAGGGACTTTTTCAGTTTCCAATTTTATTAGTTTTTTTTTATGAATATCAATAAACATTTATTTGTTGAGTAAAAATACTTGAAAATTGAATACAAGGCTCCTACTATATTGTTTCAAAGACAGATGAAAAATATTAAAAATCGTTAGTCACAGGTTTTTTTTTTAAGCATTTAAAGTTCAAAAAATGACAAAATATGTAAAAATCACGAAAATTTGCAAATTATTTCGAGTTAGAAATTCATTAAAATTTTCTTTTTAAATCTAAGATATGAAAAGTAATACACGATTCCTCATAAGATTTCCTACATTTATCAAAAAAAAAAATTCTATAAGAAAGTCAAATTAAATTTTATGAGCGTTTGAAATTCAAATTTTTACAACATTTAATATTCACTCGATTTCTCATGTAACGATTTTCTTATTTTGTGGTAATTAAAAAAAAGAATAGTGTAGATACTTTAAAATTCACTGAATGTTTATATTAGCATTTCCTATACACCATACAATTTTTAAAATATTTAGAATTTTTTTGAGCTGTTTACGGACATTTTCAGTTTTCAATTTTTTTAGTTTTTTTTTCTATAAATATCAATTAAGTTTTATCTGTTGGGCAAAAAGTGTAAAAATTAATACAAGGCTCCTGATATATTGTTACAATAGCAATTGAAAAATATTAAAATACATAGGCACAATTTAAAGGTCGCATTTTGACAAAATTTATCAAAATCTCGAAAATTATCAATCATCGTATTTAAAATTATAAAATGTTCAGTTTTTATAGCTAAGGATTGAAAATTTAAAAAAAAAGATTCTCATAAATAGTTCATACTGTAGCCAAAAATCTAAAAAATTATATAGCACAGTTATTTTTTACAGACATTTTAAGTTCAAATTTGGGACGAAATACATATAAAAAAACCTAGCATACCTATTTTAGTTATTTGTTGTGAGTGTATAATACTATTCGTGGGTACTTGAAACTTCTAAAGTACACTATATTATATATCTATGATAGTATCAGGGTTTGTTATGATGTATAAGTGTTATAAGTACTAATGGATATTGTGATATGATTAATTTGGAATTTATTATAGGTCAATTTTTTTTTAATACCATAGATATGTATATAATATGCCTTAACCTAGACTGACATACCGTCTTCGCTCAGAATCGTTTTTCTTATACATTGATATTGTATCATTGAATTCAAATTTAATAGCATCCATTATACAGTGACCCACTTGTAACCTACTGTACAGCAGAGCGAAATCCACTTACCCACCTTTTTTTTTGTTGAATATTCTTACCCTTTTTTATATTTTACTATAATTCATTTACTTTTCTATTTAGGTTCAAGAAGAATGTTAGATGTAATGGATGTTAACACACAAAAGAATTTTGAAATGACTATGAAAGAATGGACCAAGTATTATGAAGAACCGGTGAAAGATAAACTTTTAAATGTCATTTCACTTGAATTCAGTCACACCAAGCTAGAAAACTACATTAAGCGCCCAAATATTGTAAATATTATTTCATATTATCAACTACATAATTTTAAAAAACAACCATTTATAATACTGAACGTTATTATTTTATTATTATTTATTTATGTTCAAATGAAAATATTTTATAATAATTATTTCGTTTTATAAATATGCTATTGTTGTACTTACTCTGCTTAATAAATCTACATTCAATTATAAATAGGTTTGTTTTTATATGTAGGTACGAGAATTGGATTGGGTCGATTGCGTTTGGCCTAAGCATTTGAAAGAGAGTCAAACAGAATCAACAAATGTCATAGATGATATGATGTATCCAAAAGTTCAAAAGTATTGTTTGATGTCTGTTAAAGGCTGTTACACTGATTTTCATATTGATTTTGGTGGCACATCCGTTTGGTATCATATACTTAAAGGAAGCAAGGTAGAAATTGTCTATTTATCAAATAATTGTATAATTAATATATATATTTAAGGTTTTTTGGTTAATACCACCAAGTGAACAAAACATGAAATTGTATGAACAATGGATACTGTCTGGGAAACAAGGTGATATATTTTTTGGGGATACAGTTGAACAATGTGGACGTGTGTCATTGAATGCTGGAGACACATTCTTCATACCTACTGGTTGGATTCATGCCGTTTATACTCCCAAAGACTCATTAGTATTTGGAGGCAACTTTTTGCACTCTTTTGGTATTGAGAAACAACTTCGTGTCGCAGAAGTGGAAGAATCCACCAAGGTCAGTATATTAACACGTGTACTGATTTATTGAGACTAACTAATATTAAAAAAATTGTAGGTACCTCAAAAGTTTAGATATCCATTTTTTACTGAAATGCTGTGGTATGTTCTGGAGCGTTATGTCTATTGTGATTTGGGTAAATCTCATCTTTCTGAAGGCGTTGAGACTTCACCTTCGCCAGATGAGCATATACATTTCACTAAACAGGTAAAATACTGATATAAGAAGATAATAACAGATTAAAATTCACGATTTTTAATATTTGTACAGGAGCTTCACGGAATAAAAGCAATAGTAAAATATCTGCATATTCTGCCACCGAATAAAAAAAATGTTCCTCCTCTAATCAAAGATGCTATTGAGTTGATCAGAAATGTGGCCATTGTGATAAATAAACATAAGAATGATATACCTGAATATGCTATAAGTGGAAAGCCTATTCTTAAAATTCAAGGCGATAAGGTATGATATTAATAATAACTACTATTAATATACAGTAATTGTGTTAAAATGCTAATTATAATTTTGTTGTTATATAATATTATTATAATAATGCTTTTTTTTTTATAGGAGAGGGAAAGGAGATTTTATAAGACAGCTGGTGATATGAACGCCAAAGTAAAAACTTCACGAAAAACAGCTTCTGGCGCAGGAGGGCCTAGAAGAAGACGTACAAGATGTAAAAAATGTGAAGCTTGTAAACAAGCAGACTGTGGAGAATGTTCATTCTGCAGAGACATGGTAAAGTTTGGTGGACCTGGTCGCGCTAAACAGACTTGTGTGATGCGTCAATGCTTGCAGGTACGTAATTAAACTAAATAATGCAATTAATATTCAGGATCTGAATCAATGTATTTTTAAATGTTATAGCCAATGTTACCAATAACTGCAGCTTGTGGTATTTGTTCATTGGACGGCTGGGGTCAACAAATTATTATTCCTATACAGAAAGCAGCTAAAGATACTCCTAGCCAACTTATGGAGTGTAGTGTATGTTTTGAAATTGTACATCCTGACTGCCTATTGAAACAAGTAAAAACATAATTATTATAATAACTTCAGAAAATTAATATTAATTAAAATTATAAATTGCTTTCTTTTCAGCCTATTTATACTAACAATGGTACTTACAATGAAGATCTACCTAATAGCTGGGAATGCCCCAAATGTTGTAAGGAAGGGAAAGAAAGCAAGGTAAATACAATTATAGATTTTAGTTATATTGTAAGTAATTTCAAATTTGTTAATATTTTAAATACTACTTTACTCTTGTAGCCTCGCCATTTTCGAGCTAGACAAAAATCATCAGATATCCGTAGAACTTCTGTCAGTAGCAACGACACTAATCCACAAAAACGTTGTAAAGTAAGCAAAAATTAATATTTTAAAATCTAAAATTATTTTATTTATTTAGGAAAAAATAAATTTTAGGACGAAGAAGAATACAGTGATACAAATTCTGAAAGTGATGGAGACAACGTTTCTAATAAAAGACTGAAAATTGAGAAAAAAGAAAACTTATTAACGGAACGATCACCACCTTTGCCTTCAACGGTAAATATATTTTTCTTCATTTACTTTAATACACAGCTTTTTAATTAGCGGATTATACATTTTTTCTGTATGTTGGTATTGCATTTTTTTTTTTTGTTTAAGAAGCATGTTTTTTTTAACAAATAAAACTAATTTAAAATAAAATACTAAGTCTAATAAAATATTTTAACAAAACTGGTTAAAATCTAACAGTATCTAATATTATACATACTTGTAAATAAAATATGTTCTATATTAATGTGATTTAATATCACTTAAATTATTAGTTTTAAAACGAGATACTAAAATTAATTTTTATATGGTATGTATTAATAACTATAATAAGGTCATTAAATTTTGTTTAAAAAATTATGCATTTTAGATAGAATTATGGATACTACTACCTTGATTTGGAAATAAAATGGTATGATGATAAATGATAATAATGAAAATGACACTAGTCTTGTATGTTACCTACGGCTACATGCTACCTTCCAAATTCTGTTGCTTGCATGTGTGCTACCTACCAATTCATTTTATGGTTATTTATTTATACATACAACATAATTGTATTGCTGATAATAATATATATTGCAATAATATATTCATATCATTGTCAAATTCTCTTGCAATTCCTATTTTCTTAGGCGTTTTAATGTCATTATTAACAAAAACTTCTAACATATGATTTGTTTATGTAATAATTGTCCGCTACCCATCTAAACAAATCTCAAGTTGACAATTTAACATATTCCTTTCCATAATTAGATGTAATATCCAAAATCAAAGTTTATTTGCGTTAACCATTTCATAAAATTCTTATATACATATACAATACTGTGTACTCATACCTAGTGTCCTAAACCTGATGAGTATTATTCTAATCTCATATTAATCTTGATAACTGACAATTAATTTCAACAAATAATAAAAAGGAGATCTTTGCCTTGTTTGAATTATAATTTATGGTAGGTAGTATACAACACTAAGGCATTGTGGCACATAACATACAAGATATAATAACCTTAAAAATAAATTTGGTGATATAAACTGAGTACTGATGTACTTTTTACAACTTCTGATCACATTTCTGAATGTGATTTAACTTTTTCTCCTTTAATCTGTGGAAATAGATAAGCAATAATGGCATTTATTAATATTATTGAAAATATTTTAAATTATTACTTAAGAGGGACGCCTCATTTGCATATGTTGTCTCAGTCTTACAAGTGCTTAACATGGCAGAACACGTGTAGCTCTGTTAGTTTAAAAATTAGAGTGAATTGACGCTTCTACAAAATTTAAAGATAAAATTATTATCTAGGCAATCTCATAGGATTTTTATTTTAAAGCGAGTTATAAGTATTTTAAGATGTACAAACAACTAACAATTTTAAAATATTCATAACTCCCTGTAAAACTAAAATATAATAAAAAGCCCATGAGATTGCCTTGATAATATTCTTATCTTTAAGTTTTATAAGAGGTCAATTTTTAAATTACCGGAGCTACACATTTTCTGCCGAGCGTACAATTTGCTATGCTACGCAGTTGTAAGACTGAGACAACATATTATGCGGGTGAGGCGTCTTCTTAATTGTTTTTTTTTTTTTTTTTTTTCTATGTGGAATTTTGTTAATTTAATATTAACAACTGCAAATTCAAATTTAAATTAAAAATAACTGTTTTCATAAATTAAATTGTAAAAAAAAAAACCGTTTTATTTTACATAAAAGTTATTTTAGGTTGGTGTAACTGTTTCATTATCATTTATAAACAGTTTTACTAACTTTTACGATTTTGTACAAAAATGGCTTCACATTATACTCAAATATTTTTGTAATTTTCATTAGATTGGTGTTGTTGATTTCTGTTACTGAAAGGTAGGCATCTAACCATATTTTAATCGACTATACAATGTATATAACGACTAAAAGCAAACACATCATAAACCAAACACATAATTCATTTCCAAGTAAAATAATATTATTAATATTTTGAATTGTTTCCCTCCTGATATAATACTGTTGTTCTATTTGACTTTAAAACTGAGTAAATAAACGTTAATGAATTGATACACGTAATTTGTTACTGAAATATTATGTTCTTATATTTACACTATTAGGCTAGAGTTTCACTTACCAACGGGCGTTCATCTGGATGTGCAGATATGTAAAATAATGCTTTAATAACTTCACCATTGGTAGACACTTCTTGAAAACGATTGTGTGCTGTCTTATAAACTAGTTTTCACTGCTTGTGTGTTTTGTATTATTAAATGGATACTGATCAGGTATTTAAAAAGTATTGTATGATTTTTTTTTATTATTATTATATTGCTTAACTTTTTTTACGAGTTACTTAATTGTCATTTTGTTTGAAAAATGATAATTATTATTTTGATTTATATTAATTATATTGTTAATTCAATTTTTTTTCCAAGTATACTTCTATTATACCATTAATTGTATAATTTATCATAATATTATATTAAATTCAAAGTATGAATAAAATTATAGTTTTTGTGCAATTTATTTCTATTTTAGATTCTGTGCGAACTCTGTACTTGTTTTTAAAGATATTTTTTATATCAACTATATTAGTGATACTAATAGAATTCAATTATAATAAATAGTCCAAGTTTAGACCTATCTTTATTGGTAAAAGAAGATTATTTTAAGATAATATTATGTTTTTAATAGTTAATAAAGGTAAATAAAAACATAACTACAAAAGGAAAGTGTTACACATATTATCTGCAGTTATTTTAATGAAAACAATATAATTATTCTACAATTTTATAATATCTCAGATTAATTTGTAGTATAGAATTTTGAAAATATATTACACATTCAAAAAATGCTTTATCTGGAAATTTTATCATAAGTCCAGAAATATTGTAATATTTAATCATGGTGTATTAGGATTTATGATTTTTTGGATTTTTTTTCATAGAATTGCAGTTTTAGGAGTTAATCATATTTTACTTTTCATATCAAATAACATACCATTTTGTATATTCACTGTTATATTTACTCTTTAATTACTATGTTTAAGTCTTTAGCATAAATTATTATTGAGTTCCTTAAAACCATACAAAACTAAGCTCTGCTCAGAATCTTCAATAATTGTAATTGGTTATCGTCATGGTTTTTAAACCTATAATATTCATTTAACACGATATTTCGCCGAAATAAGCGAAGCAAGTTAAGTTTGACATTTATATGTGTAGCATTTTCTAATTTCTTTATGGGCACTGGGGATTACATGTTCAATAATAATTATTCTAATCACATTTACTTGTGATTTTGTGTATTGCAATTTTATACTACATATTTTCTTGTTTATTAATTTAGATTACCATGTCCCATTTGAACCATTTAATTATACTTATTTAAGTTGTTATCATTGTTCAGTTATTGATTAATTTAATTGATAAATTGCTGAAAGTTAATGGAGATTAATTTTTTTTGGTATCCATTCAACATATTTTTTGGGTTATACTATTCGATAATAATAATAATAATACATTTTATTGTGACTTATATTATTTTATTAATTTTTTTATTCTTTCCTTCATTGTCAACTAATAAAGTGTAAAATAAACCAAATTATTTTCCTCGTTTTATCCTCCATCGCCTACATTTTTTTTTTTATCACCATAACGGTCTTGTGCATGATTTAACAATATAGCTTGGTGTATTGACTGCGATTCAGTTTGGGTTATAATATAATAAAATGTCATTTCATTAATGCACATCAAGAGGAACACGAAATGTCTATGTATATAATATATTTTAACTTAATTTTTGTTTTGCTATTGAACTTTTTTATGCATTATGCCTAATCCAATTTGCCTCGTTAACTGGTTTTAATATGTACTTGTGCACTTGCAAAGTTGTGCACGAAATCGTTACTTATTCAATTTATAAGTCGTCGGAAGCGGACGAATATTGCAAGTAAGTAAGTGAGAAAGCTCGCGCGAATCTATCACTTATAAGTTATGATTAAACGAGGTATTGCGCGGTAATGGTTATCAAGTTTGGTGCGTGAAATCGATAAAAATCGTGATTTTTTTTTTTTTGGAACGAGCGTTTGGTGTATAAACTTCAAATGCTATACTTACAGGAGGTATTGTTGTACGTTGACTTGTGTTTTGAATTTTGTGTTTTTTTTCGCGTTCGTTATAAAGATCGTTGAATTTTTTGAAAATCTCGGAAGTTTTTCGAAACTATTTCAAAAGCGTATTATCGTCGCGTGTTTTTTAAATTTAAAAAAAAAATTGTCTTGGTTGTGTTTATTCAGTTCCCTATCGATATTCGACTTGACGTATCAGACTTCTGTCACCACCGCAACTACCACCACACCACGTACCGCGCGTAGTTTGCCGAGCCGTCTTTATAATAATATTATGTAATATAAAATACAAACCGTTTTTGAATTTTCGGATTTCGAATTTTTACGAGTTCACTATATAGTAAATTTTTTTTTAAAGTAAACACAATATTTCGTTTGATATTTTTTTATAGAGATGGATGGAAGAGCATTCTATGAAAATGTTAAATCGTTCTGTCAAAGTCGAGGAGGCCCATATGTCAACGTACAACAACACCACCACCACCACCACCACCACCACCACAACAACAACAACCACCAACATAACCACGACCTCCACGCCCGCCGCCACCGTCGTCGTCACCCCGACAATTGCGGAGCTGCCGCCAGCTCCACCGCCACAGGCATCGCGCAAGATCGATTTGCGCAAGCAGCTGGCCAGCCAACTGTCCGGCGGCTCGGGCAAACACTGCAACGTGCTCAAGAAACAGTCTTACGTGTCGAAACCGACCAAAGGTGGCGGGCATAAGTCTCAGTCTGGTGGACAAAAGTCTCAGGTCGGCGGACAGTCTCAAGGCGGCGGCAACGTAAACGGCTACCAGCAGCATAACAATAACCATCACAATCACCACCACAACAGCAACAGTAATCACTGCGGGGACGCGGCGTGCATGCTGCCGGTGTTCGAGTACCTGACGCCCGCCGAGTTGGCCAAGTGTGCGCTGGTATGCCGCGCTTGGTCTGCAATGTCCGTGGACCCTTCGCTGTGGCGCAAGCTGGACGTGACCGGCAAGCGGCTGACGGCGTCGTGCTTGGCCGGCGTGGTGAAGCGGCAACCCGAGGTCCTTCTGATGGACTGGACGGCCATCGCCAAGCGGCAGCTGGAATGGATGATCGCCAAGCTGACGCGACTCAAGGTTCTGTCGCTGCAGGGCTGCTCGTGGAGCGGCGTGACGGCGCTGCGCAGCAGCAGCGTGGTACCGCCGTCGTTGGCCGCGCTCGACCTGAGCTACGTGACCGGCATGACGGACGCGTCGCTCCGGGATGTACTGTCGCCGCCGTCGGACTCGCGATCGTCGTCCAACGACAACACCAATCGGGCGAGGTTCCGGAACCTGCGCACTCTGAAGCTGGCCGGCGTGGACATCGGCGACGTGTCGCTCAGATACGTGGTGCAGTACGCGCCCAGCCTGGTCGAACTGGACCTGTCGCAGAACTACCGGATCACTGATGCCGGGATAGCACAGCTCACCACGCCCGTCGGCAATGCCGTGTCCACGCTCGAGGTGCTCGACCTGTCCGGTTGCGTGGCCGTTACCGACGCCTCGCTCGAACACCTGCTCAAGTGCACGGCTCTGCGCCGATTGGACTTGAAGCAGACGCCCAAGATCACCATGGTGGCCATCAACAAGTTCCTTGTGGCCAACGACCGGTTCTCGGCCAGCGAGACCCGACTGCTGATCAAGTCGCCCATGCCGCCGCCGTCGCCGGTCACGTCGACCGGGAGACGCGATTCGACGGGCAGCAGTAGTTAAGAGTGTCGCATGTGGTAGTGCGTGCGTCGACGATTTAGTCGTTATAGTTTTATAGTGCGGACGTTGCGTCAATCGTGTGCGACCGGAACCATCGCCGAGACGATATGATAACGACGACGACGACGGACGAACACTCCGGCGCGTTACGACATTAGTAGTAGTAATAATGTATAATTTGTATATTTTTATAGCAATTTTTTTCTAATATTAATGATGTTGTGTTGTCAGTTTTTTTTTCAATCTAAATTCCAATACTCGAAAAGGGGGATTTCATTTTGTTTCTCGTATAATATATATATATAAATATATTTATGGTTTATTATTATTTGTTTCCGGTTTAGTGCCCGATAGTGTTATTCGGGTTTTACACGTCCCGAGGTGTGTTTGGTCTGCCAAACTCCGGTTGACCGGGCGCGGTTTGTAAGAATTTTTTTTTTAGTTCGCGTACTAAATAATATTATGTAAATACGACGTTTATCGACGAAAGACAATCTCTTCACGGGTTCATGCTCATTTAATTTACAATATTATTCTATTTCCGACTATAATTTAGACCTTTATGGCATTTGTATTTTTTTTCTACGTTCATCAAAACGTCATCACAGTTTTACTTAATTTTTATTATTTATAAACCATAAAATTTGAAAAAAAAAAGACTGAAGTTTTGTTTGTATTACCGTTAGTTTTATAAGTATTATATTATATTATGCAATCAAACGCGTGTTGCCACTGTGTCAATGGACACTAGTGAACCGTCGGATGGCCTGCAAGTTAGTTAAAAAAAACTAAGCGAAATTTATCAATACTCAACACTCTTTTGATTACCGTTTAACGGAGTGATGTTTGGTGTTTTTTTTTTTTTGTATTTAAATTATAAAACTATCTGACTGTGTTTATTATTATTTTTTTTTTTTGTATTATTGTATTATGAATAAACTATCCATGTGTATGCAATTTTCTCGACATTTTTTTCTGTCCGGTCTCGTTCGATTATTATTCTAAATATCTCAACAGCGTCTTACGAATACATTTTTAAACTACTCCTATGTTCCTCGATTAAACAGAACCATATACGTCCATACTGTGAATACCTTATTTCTGTATTGACCAGTACATAAATCTATAATATACGTAATTGGTGGTGGTTGTGTATAGTGTATATATATATAATAATAAATTGAAATAATTTATAGTGGCATATTTTACTCCAATCATCAACCACCTGTATTGTATTACAATATTGTCATATCACTGGATATGTAGGAGTGTCCGTCTATTTAAAACTATAAACACATTATTGTAATAAATTTATATCGATTGAGCGTGTGATCTCGGCAAAAACGACTCGTAGTATAATTCATGTGTCGGGAATGGGAGTAGATGGAGTGAGCAATAGACTACTGGGGGCCAGTGCCCCCTCCTCCCCCCCCCTTCGTTCACAAAAAATACAGTATAGTATTTCGTTAATTATTATAAATCGGCAACGTAAAAATGTCTCGATTTAAGTGAGCTGGTGGCGTTGTGTTTCCGTCGAAATTTATTTTACTCAATCGTAAATTCCCGCCTTGAGCCTTGCGTGTGACGTATACTTAACGTCGAACCGTTTCCGCTGGACTTTGGCTGAGAAATTATTTTCATTCGTTCGAAATACGGTTCGGGGGGCACGTGACGATGAACTATCGATTCGTCATTCCGTTGTCTGTAAAAACTACCAGTGAAATATTGACCAGAAAACGTTAGTTATATTCTTACTTAACACCGTGTGTTTTTCTGTTCGAAATATAAATGTCTGAATTGTTGGTATATTATTAGTTTCTCCAAATCACCAACTGACCCGAATAATTGTTTGGTTGGTCCAAGTGGAATTCTCAATTGATTCGCGTTCAAATTTGATTGCAGACTTGATTGCGTTTTTTTATCCGATTACCATTTACGCATTGGGATGTATGGTTTACGCCCCAAGTATATACAAATATGTATCATTTAATTTCCTTGAATCAGTGTGATTTAATAAGCGTCAGTATAATAATATAGTATGCCTAGTACATGAGATTTAAGTGCCCAAAATTTAAAGAACAAATATATTTTGCAGATATTTTTAATATAAATATTTGAAGGACCAGCTGTATACGAAAGATTAAAAACAATTATTGTTATTTAAATTAAAATTAAGTCCTATATAAATAGTCCTCAATAATACATATTAACTATTAAGTACAATTATTAAAAATAATACATTTATGTACCTATATGCCTTTTTTTTTTATAATTTATTAATAATCAATGTAAAGTAGGTAAAATTATAAATAATGCATAGGCTACGTATAAGTAATAAAATAATGTTAATTTATATATACCTAACGTGACCTGGACATTAATCACTGATTGTATACGATACTATATTATATTGCTTATCTCGTCTTGGGACTAATATATATCAACCACTGATACCACCTTTTACAATATATAGGTATAAATAATACATTCCAATATCAATAGAGGTATATACTGTGTGTGGTATATAATATTACAATGTGTAATATCAATTACATGACACGTAATTTTTAAAGTTGTATATCTATCGGTAAACGTTTTTATTAATTGTGTATTGTGCATGAATTTGACTAATATTTTGTGGCGGACTTGAACGTTTTGCAGTAAGTAAAACCGATTACCTACTTGCGGAATGCGCGGCGGTGGTGTGTATAATATCGTTGTTATGATAATAACGTCTGCAGATAATAATCCTAATCCGCGATGGTGTCGTGTACGGTATTTTATGTATTAACAATGCTCATAACATGCTCGGCGATGTCAATTGCACAATCCGTTTGTACCGTCGAAATGCACTTTTGGACGGCGGCGCGTATGTAGAAGACCGGACCCGATAAAAAGTCCGTAGCCCTGGCCAACCAAAAAAAAAAACCACGTGTCACAGTGTTTGTTGTACGAGCGTGTTTTCGTTTTCTAGGAACCGCAGCCGTCTTCCTGCAAAAACGAACGGCAACAAGTGCCGGCCACCACCTCCACCACCGCGCCCGTCGAACCCAGCACCGCCGACAAGTCCGATATCGAGAACAAAACACCTCATAAAAAATTCGTAAGTCTCCTCGCCGTCGTCGAGCCAATAATATAATATACGATAATGACGATACCGTGTGTGTGTGTGTGTGTTTTTTGTTTGTTTGTGTGCCTTCGCGATAAATAATAATTCCGTATTTTGTTTTTTGTTTTTTTTTTTTGCGCGCGTGATGCAGAGACGGAATCTGACTGAAGAGAGGAAACCCGAGAAATCCGAACCCGGCACGAGCACCGGAAACCAGTCGCCCATGGTGGCGACGGCCGCTGTGGCGCCTCCATCGTCGGAAGTGAAGTCGTCCGACGGCGACGGGTCGAAACAAACCACCACCACCAAACGGCCGGCCGAGGTGAGTGTGAGTGCGACAAGCCCGACGAGATGATGATAATATTATAATATACTATCATTGGGTTTTCAGTATAATATGTCTAGAAATTCGCTCGGTCAAACCGGTGTGAAGAAAATCGCGCCGTGATGTTTGGGCCATATCATTATATGCACTGTTTCAGTAGCGCAACCGGAATAGGTTTTCAAGTGGGAGGGAAGGTCCACAATTATTGTTGTTCAAACTCTGAGAATAATTCGACTAGCGTAAAAAATCTGGTACATGCGTACTAGGAACATAGCGATCCAAGGGGGGGGAGGGGTGTACAGACCCACCCGGAACCCCGTCGATGGCCACCGGTTGCGCCTCTGTATCATTGACATATGGTTCATTATCTCGTTGCGGGATCATTTTACACTGTTTCGGACCACAGATATCTCTACTATACTTAAGATGGCGAACTCCTGTTATCAAGTGAAGCCCGCGGCTAACAAAGCCGCCATTTTTTCGGAGAGCAAAATGCCACTGCCCCGTGTGCTAGATATTATAATATTATGTTGTTTTTATTGTGTTTGGAACAGTTATAAGCAGTACTCAGTTTTTTTTTTGTAGCTCGTATTTTGTAAAGGCATTAAAAGTGTTTGACCTTTTAACTGTGTCGCTTACGGTTTCGAAAATGTGGGCTATACATCCGGTCTATAGACGGACCAACAATTTTTTTCGTTTAGTACCTAACCGTTTGAATTTTGAACAAATATCGTAATACAACACTCAGGTTATCGTTAAATTAGTTGAAAATACTTTTGTTAATCACGTGGATAATTTTAAGACTTTAAAAGAGGAATTGTTGTTGTTTATGCAAAGAACAATGTTTAAAGTAGGTTATAATATGTTTAAGAATTTAAATTGCTTAGATGATTGTTTTCTTGAACACCATCAATTGCATTTTGTGTCATTGATCTCAGGTCTGCAAACAACATCTCAACGTACGTCTGCACTATATTGCTAAATCAAAAGATAAAATACTTAGCAAACCAATAAATTAAATAGCTATGTTATTGATTACTGTATGGTATACTAAGATACCTAGATTAAATAGCCAATAGGATTATACAAATACACACTTTTATAGCAGTTTTATATAACTTTTTTATTAAAAATTGTTATATTATAGCATACTTAATTGTTTTCATAGACATTTGTTCGTTCCAAAAACTTATAGTATTTGAGTATAATATTTGTTTAAGTCAATAAATACTTTAAATCTTGGATTATTTGTAATTAAAATTACATTTGATAATAACAACATTTAATAACTAAGGTGAAAATAAGAAATAGAAACAATGGTTGTTTTACAAGTAAATTAGTACCTACCTATAGTATAGTAGTATCGTTTCTAAATCGTTATATATTTAAATATAAAAAAATATGCTTTAACAAAATCAAAAATATTTAAATTAATAATTTTCTTATAATATGTATACTTCATGTGCTTCTCCCGATATCTGTGGTTTGGACCAACGAATTTCTAGTATATTTTACAATGTATAATATTCTCGATGATATTATTTATAAAATATAATATGATAGCTGGGAAATGGAAAATCTCAAGGAAGCTAATTTAATCTGCGCACATTTCCGTTTTCAGCCTGCCGAGATAAACGTGATGGAAGCGTTCGACCGGGGCACCGTCAAACGGTCGTCGTCGCCGTCGGCGGTGATCAAGATGGAGGCGGCCGAACGACCTTTCGAGTCGGCCAACACGGTAGCCGATTCCGGCGTGATCGTCAAGCGAGAAAAGCTGTCACCCATACGCATAGTGAGTACCTCCTCGCTTATCTACCTACTATACCCACGAACGTGAAATTATACCGTTAACCGTGTTCGTGGTTCGTCCGCAGTCCGAGTACATACCCGAGACGAAGGCGGCCGCCGAACAGCCGGCGAACGGCGGCGGTCCGGTGTCCGGCAGCGTCAAGATCGAGGAAGAGATCAGGACCAACGAGCCGATCGCCAACAACGTGGACGTGCCGATCGACGAGATACTGTCCAACTCGAAGAAGAGCAACCACATGCCCAAGTACGTGATCCGACCGGTGCCGAAGTTGGACACGGAGGAGACGGACAAGGAGCCGCGCCGGCGGTGTTCCACGCTGGTGCACGTGTTCAAGTTCCTGTCGGCCGAAGACCTGAAACACTGTTCGCTGGTGTGCAAAGACTGGTACACGGCCACCATCAGCCCGGCACTCTGGAACCGCATGGATCTAACCGAGACCGTAATCACCCCGAAGCTGGTCAAGTGTGAGTATGACATAATCAAGTTATTGTCAACATCGTATCGAAATTTTTTTGAAACCAATTTTTTTTTTAAAGCTTAATTTATCATCAGACACATGTGCCCGATTTCACACCCCCCCCCCTTAGATCACCCACAACGACGACGAGTATATTGAAACACTCTCCTCTTCAACCATTTTCATCGGTATCTCGATATATATGTATATTAAGTTATGAAATAAAAACCTTTAATAGGGCTCCAACTTTTTTTTAGTTATGAGAAATTCAATTTTTTTTTCTAAACAAACGAATCCTACTGCACATTGGCTGACGTGTCTTCAAAACTTTTTATCGTAATCTTTTTGTCCGCAATTCTATACAATTATATATTTCAGTTGCTACTATAATTGTAATACTTTTCCACTTAACTACTACCCGATACCTATTTAGGGGTGGTAGATGGGGCGTATTAATCGAAAAAATGACTTCACGGAAATAATTCTCAGGCTTTGTAGATTTGTCAGTGGAGTAATATGGACAGTGATATGATATTGTAATCTTTAAGGTGGGTAAAATATTTAAACCTAAATTCAATCAGTTAGGGAAATTTTATTTTATTTTATTTCATTTGTTAATAATAAAAATGGCAAACATCTGAAAAATAGTTTTGCTACATTTACTTAAATTATAGTAAAAAATCTTATTTCAAAAAATATAAAATTTGTATAATAAAATAATAATATTATGTTTTTACTATTGATCGATCGTGTGTTGATAAAATATTAAATAATAACGCTTTAGAAGAATTTATTATATATACATATATTATACACTACCTGAATAACCCGCTTTCACCAATGGCAAGTTTTTTGTGTTAAAAATAGTTGTTTTTGGGTACTCTTTTAAGTAACGACGATATATTGTAAGTATTTTAACCCGCGCTCACAGCTGTTTGTGCTGCCGCGATCAGACGGTAAACAACTTATCCGTAAGATGTTTATGATACATTTTTAAGTGCACTGATTAAGCCATTAAGGTACCCTATCGATTTAAATGTCAGTGAGTTTTTCTATCACCACAATTATAATGCTACAGAGGTTTAATTTTGGGAAATCCTTTCTTATTGGGTCTCTACATCTTAAAACCAAACTACTGACCAAATTTCATACTCATGGCTAGGCGATAATGAATCAGAACAAGTTCTTTTACATTGTATTTAGCTATTTATTATTCAAAATTATATACATAAAATATTATGTTTTGGTCTGTCGATTCTAGCTAATGGTTTTTCTAATTATTTTCGTATTTTTTTTTCAGACGTCATGGTCAGACAGCCTAAAGTGCTGATTCTGGATTGGTGCAAGATCACTAAAGAACAACTCTCGTGGCTGCTTGTTCGATTGCCACAGAGCAAGGCGCTGTCGCTGCAGGGCTGCCCTTGGTCCACGGTGTCGTGCCTTCGATCGTGCGTGTGCCCAATGCTGACGTCGTTGAACCTGAGCTTCGTGCCCACCATGGACGACGCGGCTCTGCAGCACATCCTGTCACCGCCGCTGGACCACCGACCCGGGCTGCTCGACTTGGCCTGTCGGCTGTCCAATCTCAAGTCGCTGAAGCTGGCTGGCAGCAATATCACCGACGTGGGCGTCCAGATCATCGTCCGGGTGTTACCCAAGCTGTCCATGCTCGATCTGTCCCAGTGCTACCCGATCACCGACAACGGTGTAGAGTCGTTGACCCAGATAAGCGGCCTATCCACTTTGCAGCTATCCGGCTGCACGGGCATCAGTGAACAGTCTCTAAAGATGCTCGGCAAGTGCAAGAGCCTTACATACCTGGACCTCAGACACACGAAGCTTACCAAGTCGTCCATCAACAAGTTTGTGTCCAACCGGGAGGGGTTCAAGGCCTTCGACTCGAAGCTTATCGTAAAGATTGACAAATCCTGATACAGGCTTGACGCTCCCGAACATTTGGTCTTCGGATTCTAACCGCATATCATAATTTCGGCGGCGGCGCGCAGCGGTGCATGTACATATTGATAAATAGTGTATATGTATATAGTGTACATATATTTATTATATATTATATAAGAACATATAATATATAAGTTATTTTATAAACAGTGTTACACGTACCTACAGTATTAGTAAGAGAAAGAAATATTGTATACCTTTTTTTCCACATAAGCCTGTGTTTGTATTTTTAAGACAAGGATTATATTATTATATTATATATTATTAACGTCAGTCTGTTTGATTGATGACTCACCTTATAGAATAGAGTATTAATGACACTCATTCATGCCCACATGAAAGTTTCCATTTTTTTTTTGATTTTATATAGTGTAGAAAAAAATAAAAACTATGTTATGACACTTGTAAGTTATTGTCATACATATTTTGTGTTATATTTATATTTTAAGTGCCTAATATTGTTCTTATATACATATAATTTATCATACTTCTAGTCTAAGCAATACTAACTATTATGATTTATTGTATAATTTTCGAGTATGCGAGTTGGATACCTATTGTGAACATATTTTGTTTTTTTACGAATAATTTTTCCTTTTGTTTATTTTTTTTTTAACATATTTTAATTATAATCAACAAGAGTAAATAATAATAAAGATGAAGAGTAAAGAATACAAATTTTTATTTTTTTATTTTTTGGCATCTATTATTTTGATGATGCACCAGTGGAGTGGGGCCCCACTGCAAGTAGTAACCCCCGAGGTTGACCAATTATTATATGACGACAAAACGCATCTTTCTCGGAGAGGATGCAGCAGTAGTAAAATTAAGTCTTCTGTCCTGTGCGACCTGTCGCGTGTGTCGGTCAACGACAAAAGAAAGTCTTGAAGTGCATATAGAAGTTATAATATGGCGGTTTTAGAAGTGAGGGTGCGAAAGGTCTGACGACTTCGTTTGTATGAAGAACGCTTCCGATAAGTTTTTCATGAAAACCAGGATGTGGTCGATTCTTCTTCACACAGGCAACTTGAGACCGCCACCATTTTGGTTATGAATTTTTTTCTTTCTTCCTATAGTCGTTTACAGCAATTTTCTTTACATCCCAAAACGTATTTCGTCTCTCTACTTTTCCGCCAAAATCGACGTTTCCGTTTTCTCTGCCGTTTACCGGAATTATTATGTATAATGATTTATATATTTCTAGTTTTTAGATTTTGGTAACCCTTGTCTATAAACATATAGAAGATATCATAATATTAGTTATTATAAAAAAAATACATTAATGTTATGTAAGTATAAAAATACGAAATAAATAAGTATTGAATTTTAATTTTATTCACATAGAAAAATGTCTGTAGTTTATACAAGTGGAAGCTTCATAAAACAATAAAATATAATACTTAAATTAATAGAACAATAACGACAGCGCTTTTTAATTATCAAAATATGTATGGCTATAATCACTCAACCATTTTATAACGAATGGATTTAAGATACAGATTGTGAAAACATTATCTACGTGTTCTACGATATTATAAATTATAATACATCAGTTCTTACAATAATAATAAAACAACAAGACGACTTTCACGTCTGTAAAAGTGTAAATGGCCTAAATAGTAAATACTACAGACTTCTCTGCTGCTTTACCTTACAGCGTTAAGAGTTAAGGGATTACCAAAATCTAAAAACTGAAATTTTCCGTGGTGGAAAATGGACATGGTTAATGTGTAATATACAGTAAAACTTCTATTTAACAACATTTTCGTAATATTTTTGAAAACCAAACTAAATTAGAACTTCAAATTTATTTAATATTAAACGAATTACTCTTTCTAATATACGATTTCTTTTTTTCACATGAGACTGGAAGTTTCACTGTAAGTACCATTCTGGTGCAGATGCGGTATAAATGGAAAAGGTCGATATTGGCGGAAAACTGTGAAGTCCCTCACCCGCGATGTGATCGCGCCCGTAATCGGAGCAGTGCTGGTCGATGGTCCGAATTCGCTATTTTAACCTCTACGCCACATCGGATACGATGTAATCCACGTGCACGACGTTCGCGTCCACTTCCGCAGACGGCCGCAACCCTACGTCCGCGTACTTCCGGTCGTGCCTCTTCATGAACCCGACCACGTCGTCGTAAACGATGTTTTTCACGTCGTTCGCCCACAGGAAGTCCAAGTGATTGAACTCCGGGAACGGCACGACCTTTCTCTCGGCCACGTTCGGCAGCTTTCCCGCCAGGACCTTGACGTCCTGAAAAGTACGCGCACGACAACGATCGTGTGTATAATAATCATAATATTATAAGGAATAAGGAAGTATGCTCAATTAAAGTGCGCATATTTTGGGCAATGTATGATGTATATATATATGCAACCTGGAGCGGATCCAGAGTTAGGAAACTGTAGGTCGGGACATTTCAAGGGGCCACTTATTATAACCATATTAGAAATCTATACTTGTGTACTAGGTATATTAAACAAAACAAAAATAATGTATACTGTAGTTATGTGTGTTAGGTTAGGTTAGGTTTGCAAATATTCACTGTGTGTCGGTCAGCTGACCTCCTGGACCGCTCTCCCTCTAGATCCGCCCCTGTATGCAACCAACATTAAACTTAAACTGACGTAACATGTATAAATATGTTCGTCTCATAGAATGCACAAGAACAAGGACGAAAACAAGGGTCGTGTTGAGCACACTTCATATTTCTTATACAGTTCAACAGTTGTAATACTATATTATCATGTATAATATAATATTATTGCGTTCACAACAAAATAGTTTTTGTGCGACGGCCGATGACTGCAACGAGCTTAAGAAAATTAATACTATTATTTTACCTCCATCGACGACAGCCAATCGTTTTGCGCGTGATACAGTGCCACGGGCACCGTGATGTTGGTCAGGTCATAAGCCGGTGGTTCCGGTTGTCCGTACTTTTCCAAGTTTTTCTGTTTGTTGTAGTTGTACTGCCCGAACCATTGGTCTGTTGACATATATTTTTGTGGTTATACGAAACGATACATAAATCAATTAATACATTATTACTATAATAACATATTGTACAAATATTTAATTTACTCTACTCACCGCGTTTCATGAGTTGAGCGAAATGAGTGAGTTGACGTGCTGATGCGCCGGCAGGAGTGTGTGCTAAAATTATGGGCAGAATGCTCTGAAACGGTTTTACGAAAAAATGTAGTTTAGCCCATGTTTTAAGTTGGATGATGAACAAAATTATTTATTTTTTAATTTAAACCACTCGTTTTATCAGTCGATTTTTGCATTTTTCAATATCGTGTGAAATGTATATTATATATATATATAGGTCCTTATACCGCAGGTATAGTCAATAGATAAAATTAATGATAAAAATTTAAAAACTTTCCGACTGACGAAAATCGACAGAGACAACGAGCGGCTCTCGAAGATGTATTATAATAAATAATAATCAATACTATATTTATTAAATATTAAAATTGAAATTGTTTAGGTATATAATAATAATAATCGATAACACTTCAGGTGCGAGCACGTACTTTGATCAGTCGTTTCGAATCGTATCCGGCGTACAGAAACAACAAGTTGTCGCAAACACCTTCGGCCAGCGAGTTGGCTTCGCAGAACGCTTTGCCCGCGAACAGTAAAATCTTGCCGTTCGGCCTGAACTCGTAGTACCCCAGACTGTTGCACAACCACTAAAAAACGACCATATCCGTCGTGACTACATGAGTATAAAATTTATAATACACAACAATCGGTGGCGTGTAGGTACCAGAATATATTGTATGATTTCAGATCAAGGCCGTATCCCAGGGGGTGGAGGGGTATATTGAAAAACATGTATATTGTAATTTTATTGAATTTCGGTTTTGATATTCTGTTAAAAATAAGACATATTGAAGAAATTTCGGGGGGGAGGGGTCCAAACCCTCTAGACCCCCCTCAGATATGGCCTTGTCTTAGATAGGTATTATTTATTTCAACATAACATTATTATGTTTGTGTTCGTTTATAAAATAATTTGTTTTTATGGATTAAATAATAGTGGAGAGCATCGGCGTTTATACACGCATAATATAATATATTGTTAATCACTTTATTAATTGTTCTATCTTCTATACGATTTTATCAATAATATAAACAAGGTAATAAAAAAAAATGTTATAGTCAGTGATCATAGGCGCAAATAGTTGGGGGGGGGCTAGGGGGGCTTAGCCCCCCTAAGAATTGCTATAGCCCCCCCCCCCCCCCCAAAAACAAATGATTTTACTATGCTTTACTAAAAGCATCATAAGAGTATTCAGTATCCCTGAACTGAGCTACGGCTTCAGCCCCCCCAGATTTCAAACACTATTTGCGCCTATGTCAGTGATTCTCTGTCAAATCCAATTTAAATAATTAAAAACAATACATGATGTTTCCAATAAAATTATCTGTCTTCTGTATACTATATTTACATGTGTTTTTATCTATAGTCAGCAGACATTCAACAATTAACAGTCATTGTTTGCCGATTGCTTATATTATACCATGTACAAGCATATTGATATTTATGATTTGTTTTTATAATTGTTGTTTAAAATTAAAATATAAAGGTATAAATGTAGGTATAATATATATTAGAAATGTCAAAATTGGGCTCATTATGTTTTTATGTAATTCAGATTAACTATAGGTAATAAACTAATAATAGTGTATATGAATGAGAGTGACTTATCCAAACATTATTTTGATATCACAGAATTGGCAATTGGCCTATGGTGGTGAGCTATATACTGTTAGGATGTTCAGCTGAACTTGTATATTATGGCAATAAATAGTGATAACTGATATAAGGAGGCACTCTTAGTTTTAATCAGATTTGATTATCGTCACCACTCACCATTATAATTTTCAATGTGTAGAAGAATGACCTGACAAATGAAATAACTTTTGTTTGACGCTTGCTTTACAAGTACAGCGTACTTACTACTTACCCATATAAATTCTTATTTTTATTTTTTAGTACCTACTGATAATTTTATTAATTTTTATAAAAATATTGATGGTAAATTTAAGTCAAAAAGTTTTTTTTTTTACAATTTTTTTGGACATAATAGTAAATCTTAAATTATTCATTATCTATATAATATGTTAATAATTTTATCTATACGTTTAACTAGTATCAATTTTTAGTTTTTCTTTTGTCAGGTTGTATCTGTACTCTGTAGTACCTACCTACACTAAACTAATTGGGTAGTTATAGTTCACTTTAAATTCACCGGATTACGCCAAACGCATCAACGATAAATGATAATTTCTATCACTTCGCGTCCTCGCTCGCGCCTTACTTACCGCCAACGGGTCAGCCACGGACGATAAGAAGGTCATGATCGGGCTCTTGACGTGGTTCAGGTAAGCAATCGGAGCCATCGCTGACATCGACCTGACCTTGTCCTGGTACTCGGGTCTCTCCGAACACAGGACATAAAATATGGCCGTGCCCATCGAGTGTCCAACGTAGTTCAAGTCTGGTTCGCCCGTCTTGTCCAGGATGTAATCGATCGTGTTGGGCAGGTCGATTGTGCCCATCTCGTGCCAGCTAAATAATAACAATAATAATTGTGTAAGTGACAAAACGAAGACGAGACCACTACGGTATTAACATATACCGGTTTATTTATACACCTTACACGGTACTTATTATAATATCATATTATAATCATTACCTTTTAATTTTATGTACGGATATCATAGTAAAATATTATGCCGGCTTATGCCAGGTAGAATATTCTAATATATCAAAATATAATATATATTATACATGTATACAGTAAAACCTCTTTATAACGAAATCACTCGCTGGTTGTTTAGTTTTAAAGTAATTATGGAGAGACAAAAATATACGGGAATTAGGTTGCGCGAGACAGCTGTTATTTTTCGTTGTAATTAAGAGATTTCTGTCTTGTAGTGGGTCCGTTATAAGGAGGTTTTACTCTATATTATATTTATAGCCTTCTACGTACATATTACCTATTATAAATTATTGTTATGTAATTCACCTGAAATCCCAAAACTTTTCCGGTTCTCTCGCCGGGTCTAGGGTCACGTGGTTTCTGGAGTACGTGTTTCCCCGGGAATTCGCAAGCCACACGTCGTATCCTGCATCCGACAGTATGAACGCTGAAAATAGGGCGAGACATCAACAATAGCGTAAAAATATAAAAAAAATGATAATATGATAACATGATAATATGTAAATATGTAAATATGTAATATAACTGCAATTTCACTACAGTTACACTTTCGGAGTCGAACTAGTTGCCGCGTCCCAGATAATAAATGTTGTACACAAGGTCATTTGTGTCATGGGATTTCGAATGCAAGTTACCTAGGTACTGATAGGTATATTATGGTTTGGTGTCCGTGTAATTATTATGGTAATTATGGTAATTAATAGGTAATCAAATAAACATGTGTTTTACCGTTTAACATGTCAATAACAGCTGTATCACAAACTTTCATTAGGTAACTAATTATAAAACCATATAATATTATGTGTTGGTGATATTAAATGAAATATATATATATGTTACCTACCTATATAATAAATAATTATATTATATAATAATATGATCATGATATTTAGATTTTTAACGTAATATGTATGACTAATATTGAGTTTGTATAAAGTTTTTAAAAAATGTCATCCAAATACTACAACGAAAAATGTGTTTGAACCCTCTTCCCGCATTGATAAATAACATGAAATGTATAATTAAACAAACTCTCATTACCTGACCTCGCAGAAACAGTTATAAAAATAGCCGATTTAATTTTATGCAATTTATTATTAGATAAATATATAAATTAGTCACTCTCTTTTTCGTTATTAATATTTTATTGAAACTTATATAGGATGCATTAAAATAGTATATTGTGTTGCGGGAAGTGAGCTATTTCAGTCGCAGGCGAGGGCCGCATTTCGCCCAAGACTGAAATTGCCTTCCCGCACGAGCCACACATACTATTTTTTGTCACGCCTCTGCATTCATCGATCATGGCAAAGGCAATGCATCTATGCAACAACTAGACAATAATTCAACTACAACAATAAATTTCATGAAAGAAACGATTTGGTTTTATTTATTTTAAGCGTCACGCATGGAAGGTATTAATATGAATATATGATGTAACCAAAAGTGTATGGTTTGTGAGGACCGTGGTATGGATTTCAGTGTCTGGTTGTGCAGGGGATACGCGCGTGATATGTGTGCCCAGCAATTTTGGGGATTTCCACTTTACCGCAAGGCACTTCTTGGAATTTCGACTTTACCGCCCTCTGGACGGAAAAAGGACGCTTTCCAACGCTTCAACCGCTATCGAAAACCAAACTTTCGGTGCACGCGTGACAAAAAATTATTACCCCATCCCCTCCAATACAATACCCGAGCGCGAATACTGTCACCAGGACCTAAGTATAACACTGTACAACATACGCGGGGAGATCCCCGATCTCAGTAAAATCAGAGGTAAAAACATCGTGCATTGGCAGAATCGGGTGGTTGTGGCCTTGAACCCGGTCCGAACATGGAACAGTAAACGAGCAGACCCCGCGTAGCGTACCCCGCCTACGTGGCAGTAAACGTTTTCCGAATACGGGTAAACAAGGAACTAACATCATGTCGGTTTACGGGCTCGTTACCTAGGTTCAGACTTCGGGTCATAGGTAGACTTAAACCGAATCAGCTGATCGAGTGTCTATTCCATATCGTTCTGCGGTAAAATACTCACCTAGACTGCTGTTGGGTCCTGCGATCACCCAGTCCGTCGAACTGCACAGTATGCCGTGTTGGACCAGCACTGCTGGTTTCCTCGTGATGGCCGACAGGTCATCGTTTCGGCTGTATGGTATCCTGTGCAGCGTCAGGTTGTAACCGTCCGCCGTGATCACCGTGTGCCTCTCTGCCGGATATCCTTCCTGTCTGATGTAGTCGTCCTGTTCAAAGAAAAGAGGGCAATCTGTAGGTAAGTAGACATTTTTTACGCAGTCACGCGGACGTATGTATGCAGATTACTACATTATAATATATAATTGATGAAAAACGGGAGGGTGGGTAGTGAGGGTACTATACCGGTAAAGTTTTAAGTTTACATTCCATTGATGCATAAATGCATGAAAACAATACACGCACTATAGCAAATAAAACCACAAGGTAAGTGTCTAAGTATACGTTCGAATACTATATATTTTATAATCCAAATACGATCACCCCGCGACCCTCGTGTACCTACTAGTGATATCGATTTCATTATACATTTATACCTACAATATTATTAAGTTATAATTAGCTAATTAGTTATTATACTAGTTACAAGTAATGTCTGATCCAGTGGTGATATTGGGGTGAATACCTCCCTCCCCCATTTAATTATTCTGAAAGTGTGCATGTGTGTTGTCTCACATTTTATAGCACGAATCGTATTATGTATGTCTAAGTAGGTAGGTAGGTAATGTCTGCCTGTTTGTATTTATTTTTGTTTCTCACCGTGTCTTCGCCAAGACCATGTAGTTCTTATGTATAAACATAATATTATTGTGTGTATTACATCCAGTCTCCCGAGTAAGATACTTTGGTCTATATATTATTATATAATATAATATGATATACAATATAATATTATATTATACACTGGTACTTGGTAGTATGCGGTATGCTGTATAGCCGTTAAATTATTAAAAACGTTAATATAAAATTTGCCGTCCGATCGTATGTACTGCAAATACCTATACCTTCGTATATTATTGAAATTTTATTTTTTAACGTAATATTATCGTTTAATATATTTGAACATAGTACTTCTTAAAGGTATAAGAATTAAAAACAAATTCTTGACATAGAATACGATGTACATTTTTATCAGGACACCGATACGTTTGGATTTTTAGATCAAAAGTGTCTATGAAATCGGTCCTTGGACGACTGCAATAATACATTAATTGCGTTTTATAATCCTCGCATCCATTCGCTAATAATAATATATATCAAACATAAATATATATTACTCTTTATAGGTAGTGACAGCACCAGCTGCTGTTTGACTTGGCTACGGTTTGTTGATGTCCTTTCCGTGCATTAGCACATGCTCAAAATGTTAAATATGACTATTCAATTTCATTACTACAACATAAATAATTATTTACAAAAATGTGTAAATTTTCGCGACCTCGCTACGGTGCAGCGTGCTATTCCCATTCTGCAATAATATACACAATACAGACATTTAGTAGGTACCTATGTGTACAGAGGAAAAAACTTTTTCCGTCTATTCATCTCGACGGCCTTTTTAATTTTATTGGGGTGAAAAAGCTTTAGTTGTGTTATATCTTATATCGTGACGAATTGACATGCTCGGCGCATGGTGCATACATATAAAGACCGATCATCGGACATTCTATTGTGCCTGACACAGATAAATGAAAATATAGGTACTATAATAAAGGACAAGGTCGAGAAAGGAGGCTTTTTTAAAGCATTTCTTTTCCACACTCACGACGTTTGCCCGGCCTTTTTCCTTGAGGGCCAAGCATTATACGAAGCATTATTACCACGGGCGCTGAAAAATTTCATTAAATAACATGTTGGTGTTCTTCAATTGTACTCAACGTTAAAAATAAAGATTATAAAAAAAATATTGGTTGTCTTATTTACACTGTTAATTCGTATAATATTGAGAATTCCTGAGCGCCACTGATTATTATTTATTACTGCCAAATAGTTGCTACCAGCCCTCAGATGTGGCTTCTAACTCGTTTGCGATCTTATCCTGCAACCTACAAAAGTTATTAATTTATTATTTATATTTGTAACGAATATGGCCAACAAATGTACTTATTGAAAACATTATATTTTTAGTAGGTAGGTAAAATATTTTTATATTGTTTTATTCGACCATTCTCACTTATAGACGGCGGGTGAGAGCTTTCAAAATGGCACAATGTTATATGGTATGAATATTTTCCCAATTATTAAAATATTATATTACCTACATACAATATTGGGTGCCTCTTATAATAATTTTAGGACGCATGGCATAGAAAAATTCGTCGTCGCCCATCGCACGCAATACAATATTTAAAATACAATAATAATTACGTTTCGTCTCGTGATTATTATGTTTAAATGTTTTTACCATAATATGGGTACATGTACCGTGTAATTATTATACTGCAACGCGGCAGCCACGGTTTGAGCAATGCCGCGAAATATTGCTAAAACCGCGGCGGTAGACCAACAGCGTACCTATACATTTTCTGTACAGACACCTGTAGCGATAGCGTTGGTATATTGCAGCGCGCGCGTAAGCCCATTAAATAAACAATAAAACGAAAATAACAAAATTAAATAATTATTTAACACACACCCGCGTGATGTGCACGTAACACCTTAATGATGATATATTATTATTATGTACGACGACGAGTGGATTTAAGCACCTCCGCAATCACTCACCATCGTTGCGCAGTTTAAATTATATACTGTGTAGTGTTGTTAAACACAAGATGTACCTGGTTCCTGGGACCTGAGTTATCTGGGTCTTGTAATTTTTTTTTTTCAAAATACCGCACTCTCCTATTGTTACATGTATTACTGAGATAAATAAAATAACAATATTATATATTATAATCTCATTACAATCTGCGGTTGACCAAATAATATCATTAATATCTGCTCAAACCGGCAGAGGCATATCTCGTCAAGAGGCATATTGGCCCTGGTCTATATAAGATCAAGAGTCAAGACCAGCAAAAACGAGACCTATCAAACTCGCGTCTCCGTTTATATTTATAGGTACTTCGCGCTCAATTTATGCTAAATAATCAACGGATCGCATATGGCATCTAAATGTGGGGACCTGCGCACCCCGGCCAAAACAAGCCTTTCATAATATCGCTTTAACAAGTATTAAAGGTACTGAGGTACCTTTCAGCTATCGTGACGCATGACAATTGTCAAATATACTGCCCTCCATAGTATAGAAAACAAGAATTTAAATTCCATGATATTATATATATGTATACCTAAAACAAGAATAGTAGAATAGTGGTAATCTAATATTAATCCAACCTTGATGTGGGAAATATAATTAAAGAAATAGAGGTCAACAATTACTTAATCAATTACTTTTAGGTATAAATTAATTGATAATACTAGTAAATTTAAATAAAGGATAAACATTTTTCTATGCGATTATAATATGACTAATGTCTCATTATTATTATTATTGTTATTATTTTATGGTTGTGATTGTTGTTATAATTATATTTACAACTATGTATGCAAATCCGTGCAAAAAATGGATAATAAATATCATTATTGTATTATAGACCCCCTAATCTCGACACAAGCTTTAATTATGGTAGCTATTAACTTGTAAATGTAAATTTTATTTAATGTCATAAAGTTGAATTATCAAGTATAATTGTATAAACAAACAATCGGTTTAAGAGTGGTGGTCTACAATAATTACAAGTTGACGAGTTTGCAAACATTCGTTAAAAATAATTCCACGCTGATGATTTCCTATCGCCAAATACACGTCTCACATTTCCACAAAATATCTACCGTCGATTTAAAAGAAATTGTTACAGAAGAGACCTATGGCTATATGTAGTACAATTTAAAATAAACATTGCAGCAAACTAGTAATAATTTTATTTTGCGGTCTCCTCTACCCGTCTTCCGCGTCGTTGAGTTTTTCTCATCAATGTCGCTTATTGTTTATACATCGTAATATATTTAAAATAAATAAGGAAATTACGGAGATGACGAAGATTATACATAATATACAACAATAATAGTATATTATATGGCATACTGTCATGTATAATTCGTACGGTCTGTTCAGTCTCGAATCGCGAGTCCACCAATTTTTCACCGACGCGCTTATCCGTGACCCTGTTTGTCATTTGTATCGGTTACAATACACATTAATATTAATAATGTACGAGGTACATCGCCTGTCTGTCTACATGATATTCGTTTTATGTTACTCACAGCTACCTATATGTAATAATATATGCTATCTATATGATAGGAGGCCGATCGCGTACTGCCATTAAACTGCGGTTAATACCTAATCGTTATTTGACGACGGTGATACCATGAATAATATACCATTAACAACCCGGTGAACCCTACGTACAGCACTATAATGATATTATATACATTTTATGCATACGAGATGTCTGTTATCGGCTGTCATACGATGTTATATATTATGTAGGTTTGTGTACATATATGCTTTAAAAATATAGGTCAAATGATGCACAGTACATTATACCATTGATTATACACTTTATAATATTATAAAGTATAATATTACATGCATTATGCACGACTGATTTTATATAAATTCAGACTCATGGGCGTTCTTATATTTTTCTGTAAAACTAACCTGAGAAAATCTTAATCATGATAATTTTAAAGAAAAGCACCTTGGTTTGATTTTGGTCCTTTTAGTATATAAATGTAAAACATGTAATTATTACTTTGAGATTAATATTTTGTATTCCTGCAACCCACAGCTTTGCTCAAAATTCTATCAAGTATAAATATGAATGTATATTCGTGTTTTAATGTTTTATACACGCCAATGTGAAACTTTTGTAACAATCAATTTATACGAATATATTAAATATTTAAATGTATATGTATCTATCGGATAATATGCCCTCCGGGAATAAAATCGTCAGGTTTATGAGTATTTTATAGATTTTTTTAACGACTATCGTCGCTGTGATTAAAAGATATACATACTCGCGACGACGTTTACCAAATCTTTTTTTTTCATCATGTACACCATATTATTTTACCATTGTCACGACGTTATATTGTATATTTAGGTACCTTGGGTATATATTTTGATAATTATTTTTGTTCCGCGCTCAGTCCGTTCATATCGCAATAACTTGCGAAAAACCACAGAGTATTTCGTGTTTATATCGCATACGACGGTTTCTCACGGCAAAAAAAAAAATGATAAAAAAAATCACGACCGCAGTGCATATATATTATACTATTATACACAATAATATATAAACGCATACCTATTGCGAAGGGTATTTATATAATTCGCAATACATATACGAAAGATCGCGAGAGAGCAGACTCCTGCAGTCGCTATACTAATTTCTCGACGTCCCTCGAGTGATTTATCCATATGGGACATATGAGTTTTAAGATGACGTGATGCTCGCATGTGTTGTCTCCGTCTTACAAATGCGTAACATAGCAAATTTTACTCTCAACAGAACATATGTAGGATGTAGCTCCTTTAATTTAAAAAAATAGAGCGAATTGACCTCTTATAAAAAAATCTTAAACTACTCATAACTCGCTTTAAAATTAAAATATATAAAAAAAGTCCATGAGGTTGCCTAGATACTTTTAGATTTAAAAGGTCAATTGGCTCTAATTTTTTAACTAACTACGGAGCTACAAGTGTTCTGCTGAACGTAAAATTTGCTATGTTACGCACTTGTAAGACGGAGACAACACATGCGGGTAACACGTCCTCTTTAAGAATAGTCTTCACTAAAAAGTTTATGGGAACATGCTCGATGATGGTTTTAATGCGACTTTATGGTTTCGCGTCGCCAGATAATTTCGGACGAAGGGCCCAAGCAAGTGCCTATAAAATATACTTAAAGCACCTATAATCGCGTATTACGTGAGTAGGTTACGTGTTTTATAACATTCGCTTACACGGTTCGCATACGTGGACGATAATATCGACAACGACATGTATATTATGCACATAGGTAGGTACTATATGTATATATCGCACAATAATAATGATGATGTATTATTATTAATATATTGTTATTATACAGCAAAGCCGCGACCGCTGGAGACATCGTGTCAAGGTCACCTGGTGGTAATGACCAGTATAATAATATCGTTGGCTCATACACATTTATTACGTACAAACAACTAGTATGTATGCGACGGGTACCTACCAGCCTCGTGTATGTACAATATATACGTAGATAATTAGGTATTACACAGTAGTACGAATTATATAGTAATTATATTGTAAGGTTCGCAACATAAGCATTTAAGAAAGACAAAAATTGAAAAAATTAAAATATTTCTAATCAGATAATCAAACCGAGCACGTGCGTAAAACAATGACAAGCTCCGAGCTGAGACAAATTGCTGAAGACACAACACGACTCACGAGTAAGTGATATTGTCGTGTATATTTTTTACTTATCAGGCTGCAGCAGACAGATTAAAATATACAATTAAATTACATTTAAGCAACGAATTTATTAAAACCAATACATAATGATGTGTGTAAATATTATGATTTTTTTTGTGTCTGAAGTCACTTTTTATTGTAGAAAAAATGTGCCGATTTATAACTCTGAGGGAGGATTCTGGAATCAAATTAGATCTAGTTTGTAATTTATGGGATCAAATGTGGACATTTTTCTTGTCAAAATAAGAAACGGTACAAAAATATATTTAACTCAAAATCAGTTTTCGACTAAATCGATCTTTCCTTTGCTCTAATTCTAAAACC